TTGGTATTTGTATTGGGATTGCATTAAATGTGTAAATTGCTTTTGGTAGTATTGCCATTTTCACAACAGAGTCTTCCTATCCATGAGCAAGGGATATTCTTCCACTTTTCAAGATCTCTTTTTGTTTCTTGTAGTAATAAAAAACTGTTTTCTAACACAGAAACTACTACAGGACCCCATCAACAAATTCAACTTTTAGTGAGAAAACTAGTGTAGTGGGCAAACTTGGCAGTCATCAACCACATCTACTGTAACAACTCTGACTGTTGCATAAGTATAATAACAGCAGGGATAAAAATGCCCTTACATTTATTAGCACAGGTTCCAGATATACACAGATTTATACAGACATCATTGTGTTATACTGTAAGAAAGATTTCCATTTACAACTTCACATTAAATCATATAAAAATAACTTGACCCTACACAAATGTCCTTTTAGCAACATTCAAAGTAATTAATTGGTACAATTTCCCACTCACAGCAAAAAAAAAAAAAACCAACCCCCAAAAAAACCAAAACAAACCCACACACCACCACACACACACTCACAAAAAGGAAAATTGTGAGAAAAGTATGCATTAATTTATCCTTCCTCAAATTAAACGACACTGTATAAAAATTTGCAGGAAAAAATATTACAAAACCGAACCTTGTACATTCATACTTGAGTCCAAGCCATTCTCCATGTGGCGGGATCCCGCAGTTCAGTTACCCTTCGCGCTCACAGCTTTCTCCTCTTGAGGGTCAGGATTGAAGTCTGTGTCATTTCAGTGTTGTGAGAGAGAGTTTTCACTGCTGTGGGAGAGTCTACACTTTCATACCTCACACTGAGCTGTTTTATATAACTCCTACCTCCTCTGTCAGTTGTTCTTCAGAGCTGTTGGAGACCTTATTCCCATTCCCGTGAAAGAGATCATCTTCAGCTGTGTTCCCCTCCCTATGAAATCCAGACCCCGACATCCTCTGATGGGAGGAGCTGCTGTTATCTGGTCTGTTAGCCAGGTGACTGCAGTCTTTCCCTGTGGCTTCTGCCTGTTCTACAGGCTCAGAAGCTGTAGTCCTGCTGGTACTGGGGGCAGAAGTTTAAAACTGCTGCTGTTGGTATTGAGCCAGCTGCTGGCGTGTGTCTTTGAGTTGTTGCTGAAGAACCAGAATGGTACGCTGCATGCCCTCCACTTCCTCGTCCAGTTGGGTGATGAAGTCATCCTGACTGCTTTTAAGCTCCTCACTGTATCTCTTCTGTAAAGACAACTCAGCTTCAAGTTGTGCAATACGTCCCTGGGACAGCTGCCTTCTAAGCTCTTGGTTCTCCTGGATAAGCATTCGACACTTC